CTAATTAAAATAACACTTACTTGTAGCAGAGAAAATCTGAGGTCAGCTTCTGTATAAAGCATGTGTTGCAGAATGAAAGTTGGCCCTCAGTAACTAAAACATGACTTGGTAATCTCAAGAGCTGTGTTTTTCTAAGGGACCCTGTAAAGCAGGAGCAGGCAAAATATGGCCTGTGAGCCAGATGTGGCATGCCATGCCATTCTATCTGGCCCATGGAACCCCTAAAAATTTAGAAAATTAATATTTATCTTCCACCAGCTGCCTGTCAAAGATGACAAGAAGCCAGCAGCAGCAGGACCTAAGTGAACCAGCAATAGGACCCAGAGGCAGCAGCAGCAGCAAGGGCCACCTTTCCCACCACCAGGCTCTGCACCCCAGAAACTTCTGCCTAGCAGAGGCTTTTGGCCTGGGACCCTAGGGCTGTTCACCGCCTCCTTCTGCCTGACAGCAGAGAATCAGATAAGAACAGGTAGGGGAGGGTGGGGAGGAAAGGATTGCTGGCACAGCAGGAGCCAGCCCAGCCCAGCTGGCACCATGCAGTTGCCGGAAGGAACCATTGCCAGAAGTGGCAGGTGGGCAGGGAAGAAAGAAAACAGCAGGGGAAAGGCAGCAGTGGTAGGCGCAGTGGGGAAAGTGGCAGCAGGCAGGAGTGCAGGGCCCCAGGGGTCAGGGCTGGTGGCAGTAGGACCCACCTGGGAACTGCAGGGGCTGGGCTGGTTCATGCTGCATTGTGCGGTCCCACAGTTGCAACAGGAAACTGTGCACTGTCAGGAGGTGCCCAGCTGGGCTGCCTGGCTCTGTGTCACACAGCAGAAGGCAGCAGGAGTCAGCCTGGCCCCCAAAGTTTCCAGCTGGCTCCTGCTGCTGCCCCTGTCGTGGGGGCCACACGCTTGCAGCTCCCACTCTGGAGCTGGCTGCCTTCCCCACCTCCTGCCACACAGGTCCATGAACTCTGCCAGGAGTGGAGGCAGCCCTGCCTCCCTACTTAGTCCAGTGCAACACTTCCCCTGGTATGAGTGTGGGAGCTGCAGGTATGCAGCACGGGGCCCCCATGATAGAGGCGTTCGGGCAGGCTGTGCTTGTCAATCCCCATGTGCAGTGCTGGCTGGAGCTGTGTCCTGCCAGACGCCAGTGCCTGTGCCAGCACAAGCACCCTGAGCCCACCCTGCCTGCTGCTGCTGCCAGCAGTGGGGGCTGCACGCCAAGTGGGGGAGTGTGGGGGGGTCCCCTCACCCCCCACCTTCCCTCACACCCCACTAACCTCACATACCCACACCCTGCCCCCACAACACCACATATACACCCCCACAACATATCCTATGCCCTCCCACACCCCCACCCCACACACTATGAGAGTGAGACTTTATTTTTGAGTTATTATGCAATCCCTTCTATATACAGTACAAAAACAGAAACCATGAAAAATATTTTTTATAATAAAATTGAAATGTTTTAGTAGGTGTTTGGCTTCTAGTGTATGATTTGGTTTTCTTCTGGTTCTAAGATGGCAAACCCCCCCTTCCAAAAGAAGTATTTCTGAGGGGCAAGGGGAGGGACATCCGGTGTTAAAGGTCAGGGGTGAGGGGGTGGGACTTCTGGTCCCAATATGGCAACAAAGGTTGGGGCAGCAGCCAAGGGGCAGGGCTACCCATGTGGCCCTTGACAGCTTGCCAAAACTCATTAAGCGGCCCTCCACCTGAAATAATTGCCTGCCCCTCCTGTAAAGGACCCAATTTGGGACTTTAGGCTGAATCGGGCAAAGAGCTTTATGAATTGCTTGCTAAAAAGTTTTTGTTTAGTCTGGTAAAAGTCTCTGCCCTGAACTTGCTCTGCAAAGGTCAGCATATAAACATAAAAACTAAGATAAATAATGACATTTAGAAACATAGAATCAAAAGAGACATACTGCCTTAAAAAAACATGTCATATAATCCTACTTCTAGTTAAATATTGTTCTTGAACTTCACACTAATGGTGATTCTAATTCTTATTAGAATTTAATTCTTCTTCTGATTTCCAGTTTCAATTTATTCATGACCAGTTTTATCAATTTGTTCTTGCACTTACATTGTCCTTAAAAGTTTTCCCCCCTTCCCAGTTGTTTTTCCCCCCATGATATATTTATCGAGGGCTATTGCATGCTGCCTCAGCCTGCATTTTGCAAGGTTAAACAAGCGAAACTCTTTTTCAAGATAGGTTTCCATTTCCCTTACAATCTCAAAGCCCTTCTAGGCCCTCTTTCCAGTTTGATATTTTTTCCTTGAACATGGTAACCAGCATTGTACAGAGTAGTCTAGATAAGGTCTTACCAACATCTCATACAATGGCATTAATATCTTCTATTTCTGTTGGAAATGTTTCACCTGATATATCAAAGAAACTTATTTACTATTTTCATAGCCACATCACACTGGTGATTCCAGTTATACTGCGATGAAGCAATTCACCTGGGGCTTTCTTCTCCTCTGTCACTTCCAACAGGGGTCCCTCTACCATACAGTTGAAGTTCCTGTTGTTATCCACTAAATTCAAGACCTAGTACTTTGTATTATTGAATGTCATCTTATGTCCTTACTCCAGTCTTCAGGGTCATGCAGTTCTTCCTGCAGGATATTGTGATCCTCTTCTGTATAAGTGATGACTTCATTGATTTTTATTCTACTTGCTTAAAATTTATCACCTTTATATTTGGGATGTAAGTAGAGATAAATACAGATTTTTGTCAGATAATCTCAGACTATTCATTTCATTACTTTATAATGCAGTACAATACATTTGTTTTAAGTCAGTCATTGGCATCAAACTTTTTATGGTGCTTCATTTTAAAATATTACATCACTATAAAGCTCATGAAAATAAGTGAATTTGCAAGCACCTAGCAAGATAGAGGGAAACTCCACACATTTCACCTAACAAACAGATGACATGCAATAACTTTAAGATTTCAGCACCAGACCTGTCCAGTTATTTATGGTTCCAAATACGCTTTGTGAAGAAAATGGGATTATTCAGTTGGAAATATTCAATTCCTTTTCCTTGGGAACTCTACTTCTTTGGAATTTAGAGCTCAAGAGGAGAAAGACTAATAAGATTCAAAACAACAAAGGAAAAACACCTCTCCAAGAAAAGACAGAAAAATCTGTAAGCCATAGAGTGCAAATCTTCTGCAAAATGATTTTTCATTTTGCAAATCTGCAAAATGATTTTCATTCTGCAAATCTTCTTGCTTAGATGGAAAGACGGCAAATGCACAATGTACAGTAACAATGAATACTTGAAGTGACTGTGGAAACCGCACCATCCTGCTGGACCTGTTTGTGCTTTGGAACTTACTTTCATTGACAAAGCCAGTATTTATCACTTTAACTCCTGTTAACACACAAGAGCAAAATAAAAGCAGGGAGGGAGGTGCTACCTTTTTTGTGCGCATTAGTGGAACTGTTGCTGGATTGTATTCTTCATTAGGGAAGTATAAAACACAAAGAAGAGCTTGAAAAGTTCTCTCTTAGATGACCCAGATTATCTTACTGTGAGAATTGGAGACATCATATACCAGAAGTAAACTGTCATCAGCAATTGAGCCAGACTAGATCTTTGTTCCGCCCTCTTGATGGCCAGAGGTTTAGGAGGAAGAGAGGGCCATAAAACAGGCAAACTCAGGGGCATACTGGGAGGATTCTTTTCATTTTGGCCATGAGATCCCAACTGAAGAGGCTAGTAAGAAACTACTGAATTATAAAACTGAAGAAATGATCTGCCTCTGTCTAAGTTTAAGAAATACTTTATACCTTCATCAACCCTGGTATTGCTTAGCTCTAGTTTATTTAAATCATTACAGATTAAGTTTTAATAATTATGTTAATAGAAAACAGGTAACATTATCTGCAGGGTTATCAGTGACATCTGGCACTGCTGCACCAATCAAGGAATCAAAGTCTCATTTGCCCAGTGATTCTAGTAGTACTTGCAGCAAAACTTTCATGCAAATTTCAAATCAAGCCAGCATGACACACAGAGCTGCTTTAAATACATTTAAGCAATATGTGCCAAAAATTCCAAGTCAAATCACAGCAAAAATTCAAGGACAAGTTCTATTGCATAACAAAAAAAGAATTACATTTTTATAGTATAGGCAATTACTTTACTGTTCCCACAATGAAACTGAAATTGCCCCTTCAGCTGTAAATAAGGATACTTGTTTGCTATAAAGAAGTGACAATTATGGGCATCAATAAACTCCATCCCTCCTGCATTTCAGACTTCCCCAAGCAAGTCTGCTGGCTGCCTTATGGATAGTAAAACTATGATCTGGAAACACAATTTACAGACAATGGCAAACAGCAGGAGCCAACCAAGCAGTGTGCCATTGAACTCTACACTTTTGCAGAGCCTTATAAGAAAGAAAAAGATTAGGAAAGGATGTTTGGGTGCCTATACACATGCTCAGGGTGGTGGGTATCCAAGAACAATACTCGTTTGATGCCACTTAAAGTACTTCAATAGGACATGTCCAACATATAGTATCTAGCCATATTTGATCACAACTGCTTTTTTGGTCTTATATTCTACTTCACATGTATATCTAGGCTGTTTTTGCTGGATATTTGAAAATGCTGGATTTTTGAAATCGGAGTGGCGGCCAGTCGCAGAGCTGGGGAGGCGGAGGGAAGTGGTGGCTGATCTTGGAGCAGCAGAGGGGAGTGGGGATGGATGGCGGCAACAGCCACCATGTGCAATCTTCTCCCTCCGCATCTGGGGGGCAGGGGAGAGCGGTGGCTGGTCCCGGAGCAGTGCTGGATTTTTGAGAATTCCAGATTTTTGTGATCCAGATTTATGAGGTTATACTCTATTAACTCTGATAAGTGGAGAAACTTGCTTTTTATCTTAAAAGGCTGCACTTTACTCCTACAGCCTGAACTGCTTGTAAAGGAAGGACTTCTCCTAATCCCTTCAGTGAATGTCTGCCCCCAGAGGGAAGAGAAATGAAGCAGGTACCATACTTTGGACTGCAAAGGGTGCTGAAGGTACTCCCTTGCCCTGTAAATCTGTATAAAATCTAGGCAGAATTTGGCCCTAAGAGTTCGTCCCATTCCTCTTTAAAAGGTGCTACAGTGGTTAGGACAGGTAAGTGGATGACTTGAGACCCTCTGGGTTAAAATCCGTGGGGAACACGGCATAGGGGACACTATAGATTCATAGATGCTAGGGTCGGAAGGGACCTCAATAGATCATCGAGTCCGACCCCCTGCATAGACAGGA